TATATGTGTGTGTGTGTGTGTCGTGTGTATATAGTATATATATATATATATATATGTGTGTGTGTGTCTTGTGTGTATATAATATATATATATATATATATATATATATACATATATAAATAAAATATATAAAATGTGTGTGTGTGTATAAAATGTGTAGTTTTAATTTTGTGCATTCACATATATATATATACATATATGTGTATGTGTGTTTATGTATGTATGTATGTATGTATGTAAATATGTGTGTGTCATTCTATTTCCACATTTATCTCTCGGCTGATTTCTGCATTTACACAAGTTTAATAAAGTGCATAGATCAGCCAATTTATTTCATATACACTTCCATAAATACATATGCGCACGCATATACTCTCGTATATGTATACCAACTGTATACCTTTTCAACGCTTTGAGCACATCCGTCTCAATATTTGTATACCTTCCCTGTGCCCGCCCCAAACGTATTTGTTTACAGATATGGAGATCTGGAACACGCTCCTTCTGCTGTGGACCTTGAATGTGGTGCTGAGTATTGGCCAGACCATCATCGCTCATGCCGTGAGTGCGTACTACTTTACATCCAACAAAGAGATGGTGTCGGGTGTCTTCTCACTACAGGTAGGTGCTGTGCTTTTCCTCAAGTACGAAGCTCTCTACAAGTTCCTGTTTAGCTATGCGGCAGTTATATGCCAGTCAGTGCACGGTCTCTTGTTCGCTGCCCAAGCCTAAGAAGTTATCCTCTCACTTCACATCTATTCCCGTAGCCTCCTATGGATGGGGTTCGAGGGTGACTGTACAGACGTTGATGCACTGACAGTGTAACTGCATTTGTTCTTACAGGCGGCAGTGTATACGGTTTTGCAATACCACGTGGGTTCGATAGTGCTGGGATCGTTCCTCATTGCCACCGTCCAGGTATCGTCATGTTGCTGTTGCTGTTGTTGTCGCTGTGCTTAGTGTACCACTAACTGAACCAATACATGATGGATAGGCGGGTACAAGAGGTACAAAAATACTAACTGGACTAACAACGAATACATAGTGGACAAGTAGGTATAATCATACTAATCACACCACTAACTGAACCAATACATGATGGTTAGGTGGGTACAAGAATAGTAGTGTACCACTAACTGAACCAACACATGATGGCTAGGTGGGTACAAGAGGTACAAGAATGCTAACTGAACTAATAACGAATACATAGTGGACAAGTAGGTGTCAGCATACTAATCGCACCACTAACTGAACCAATACACGATGGATAGGTGGGTACAAGAATACTAGTGTACCACTAAGTGAACTAATACATAGTGGACAAAAAGGTATAGACATACTATTGTCACCACTAACTGAACCAATACACGATGGATAGGTGAGTACAAGCATACCAATCTCAGCACTAATTACACCAACGGTGGATAGGTAGGCATAAGCATACTAACCCCGCCGCCCATCGACCCAACCCCAGTGGATCCGCTGGCTGTTGCGGTCCATCCGCCACCAGGCCAAAGACGCCAAATCCACGGCCGCTGAATGGGCCTATCGGACGGTGTCGTGTCTGATGGATGTGCTCAGTGCGGTGGTGAATCTGCTGTCGCTCAATGCCTTCATTCAGATTGCCATGACAGGCGATGATTTCATGACCTCCGCGCGCAGGGGCAGTGAACAGCTGCAACGGGTGAGTGCGTGTCGAAGGGGTTATAGGCTGTTGAGTGCGAGATGTTCTGTTTGTGTGGGTGTATATTGCTTGTGTATAGCTGGTCTGTGGTTCTGTGTTTGTGTGATTGTATATTGCTTGTGTATAGTTGGTATGTGGTACACACCGTGTTGGTGCTGGCGTGGAGTGTCTGTGTATGCTTAAACTTACGGTTTAAGGTTTGTATCCTGCACTAGATGTTGTGTCTGCTTAGATAGACCTACGGCAGCTTAATAGGTCCACTAGTGAGTAGTATTGCGGTCAGAAGTGGCCCTGAAGTACTGTATAATGTACATGCTGACTGTGTTCATAGGCCTTCCTATCGTCTGATAAGCCTTCGCCTGCATTGAGTTGCGTTCTGCGTGCCCGTTGTGTGGGTGAATTACCACAACGCCGTAATCGGCCTATGTTCCTCATTTTAGTGCTATTGCGCTTTCGATCCAATAAATATTGGGGGCTGTCGTCTAGAATTGAGGTTAGTGTACCTAGAATCAGAAGCAGTTTTTGTTTTGCTGCACAGCACAGTCCCATATCATATGGCAGATTTGCTGCACTGTACATGATGCTTCCTTTACCTGTGATGTTTTAAACCTACTTTGAGGCCGCAATTGCACTCGATGTCTATCCCCAA